CCTTGTTTGTTAATAAATAAATTCATTTTTGCAATCAAATCAAATTATTATTGTTTTTTAAACTTATAATAGTAAAATATTGAATTGCTATTTTTTAAAACTTTTAGCATATTGTGTTAATTAATTTTAGCTTAATGTTTTTGTTGTTTCTGATTCTTTATCTACATAATTTTTGACAATAAAAAATAAAATAAAAAAATTTTAATATGTTAATTAAAAAGACCTTATGTAAAAATTTAATCAATATTGAATGTTTTTAAAACGAGTTTTTAGATAATTACATATTTGGTAAAAAAAATGAGAATAAAAATAAAAAGGTTGGGTATTGATTAAACCTAAAGCTTTAAATTTATTTTAATAAATTCTTTTGTCAATTTTTATATAATAATTTTTTAATAATGGATGAATGAAAAACTTTAAAAGGTTATCTACACTGAACGTGTTTTGGTAACATGATTTTTATTGCATATACAAAAAGACAATTTCGATTGTCTAATATATACAGTGTGTTCCTATGCCAATGATTGAATCATATTAAAGACTCGTCAAGAGAAACAGTATGAATATTCTTAACTTTATTGGTATAGATAGAGGGATTGGCTGTAGCAGGCACTGTATGTATGCACGTTCAGAAACTGGTTCAAAATAGTTCATATCATAAAGACATTTCTATCTACCATTCCAGACCTTTTCGGAATTACAATTTGGGGTTTTCAAGATAAAAAAAAAATCACTTACGATGTAGGTTTTTCACATTTTTCTTGATATTCCTTTTCGCAATAAGAATTGGTGGATTTCCTTCGGCTTGGGTACCCTAATGAAAGAAAGATTCTCAATATGGTGAAGCCAGAACACTAGTGATATGGTATTTGAATTGTCGAACTCGGCGACAAAATTGTGGCAATCAACATTCTGGAAATTTAAAAATTTCGCGTTTTGCATTTTTAAGTAGTAGATTGCGGTTTTTAAACTGTATGTCACCATTCAAACGTGCCCCCATAAAAGACGTCTGAGAGTTCATCTTTTTCAATCAAAACTAATTTTATAAACGAACTGATACGACAAATTCTCAAGCTCTACAATAGCTTGGCTTGTAACAATATTACTGGATTCAAGAGTGTTCTTTTGTTCCCATAATCAACAAATTCAAAATCTCGAAATAATGGATTTACTTCATTTGATATATCCAAAAGATGTACTGTATATGCAGTAGGATCCCCCTTCGATTACTGTATTACTACTTAATTATTCGAGTCGAATAGATCATCCTAGCAAATTCATCTAGTGTTTTTTCGGTTTTTGGAATAGGTTTGTATCTATTTAAGAGTGTGCCAATCCAATATTGCTCATGCAACGGGCCTGAGGTCTTTCACGGAATCAAAAATAGAACCACGATATTTTCAGTAAAATTATGCAAATCAATTCTCGATATTGCACTCTTCAATGTTACGATCGCCCAGGCAATTATGCCCAAATACAGGAAACAAAATACTGTATCTCGCTGATATTTCGGAGCTACAGAGAAGCGACTGTAACATCCGACGAATTTGGTTTGAATAAATAGCATACAAGCGTCAATGCCGAGAAAAAAGGTTGTTGCTTTACACAAAACCTTTTTTGGAATGAGGTCACTAAATTAAGTATTAATAAAAGACGTTTTACAGTATTTAAATACGAGTATTTACGTCACATACATACATACAATATGTATTACTGTATACAGCTACAGCAACTAAGAAGTTCCCAAAAACTTTCTACTGCAAAAATTCTTTTGTTGTGTGGCGAAAATATTTTATTATATATTTACCCATAACGAGCGACACGTAACGTTAAACCAAGCTGTACCAACCGATATATATGTCATTCCAAGATTAATACAGTATGTCGACGTCCTAGGTGTAACTCGTATTAGAAAAAATATTGTTTTATCGCATTCGTGCCACAATGATCAAAGAAATACTATGATAGTGTAACTTAAATCACTTCACGTAATGACTCAAAACTATTCTCCTTATAAGTATTGTATAGTTAGTGGTAAATTGAAAATACCCTATTGACACTGTTTTTTTTTTCTTTCAAAAACGTATCTCTTATCCTCACATATATTATCCAAAATATTCATTTATGCTTTGAAAAAAGTAAAGCACTTGACGAAATCTCTGCGAATTTTAATATATTTAATATAATTTCCGAGGTAAAAATCGAACATCAATTAAATGCCAGATATCATTCAATTTAAAAATATTTCTCATCTTTAATATCGAAATTTTTAGAATTGAAATATTTCTCTTATCAAAATAAGAAATTCTTTGTGGCGAAACCTTTTAATATAACAACAAAAACAATAACAAATAACATGACTGAAGCTGAAGAAGCTCCCCAAGAACGTCAGGAAGATTTCAATCAAGCTTTCCAAGAACATCTGAATACTCTCGATCAACGCAATAGAAGACGAACGGGATTATGTGGGAGTTTGTGTATCATGTGTTCTTCTATAATATTGGTAATTGTTCTTCTGGGAGGCTCTGGTGTACTATTGTATTTTATACTTCATAAATTCACTCATGTAGTTTAGACGTCGAAAATGTAAATGTTAGATTCTGTGCGCTATTTATGCTTATGAAGATCTCAGCTCATCTGAACACTGTACAGTATATCATAACTTCATCCTTTTAAATATGGAAAATTCATTATTAAAAGCAGATGATTATAAAATCCGAGTTTAATGTTAAAATTAACTGGTTTTTCCTTATTAATTGATTTTAAAGAAAATACTCTCATGCCGAGTTACAATGAATGCTTTGTTATATCAAAACTATTTAAATCAATTTAATTTGAAAACACATAATATAAGTAAATAAAAGACCTTTTGAGCTACCAGTATACTAGAAAAGTTTTTACATATATGGCTAATAATTAATCAACAAATTAAGATAAATGAGTATTTGTAAGCATATTTAAAATATAAAAGAATTAGATTGGCAATATTTTTAAATATATACAAAAATATATTTTAAAAGTTTTAATTTTAATATTAAAAAAATATTTTATGCAAAAAGCTACAATAATTTTTTTAAAAAAATTTTTATAAAAAAATATATAATATTATTTTAATTATTAACCAATTTTTAGATTTATTTTATTTTTAATATTATAAAAAAATTATTTTAAAGTTTAAAATTTTAAAAATTTACAAATTAAAAATTATATAAAATTTTTTAAAAAATGTAAAAAATCTATAGATTAAATTATTAAATTTTTAAATTTATTGGATTAAAATTAATAATTAATTTTTAATACTTAAAAATTTAAAAAAACATTTTTATATAAAATTTGTATTATTATAATCTATAGATTTTAAGTTTTAGAATAACAAAAACCAACTTTGCCTCAATATTACTAAGAATCAACAAACTAATACAGGACAAATCAATTCAAATCAGATATACCAATCTTAAATCCAATTCAACATTTGACAATACTCTCCAATGGATTAATCTATCTCTTCACTTCTTCAAAAGTCCTCTAATCAACAATTTTCAGTTAGATAACAGTGTCAAATAGTGCAAAAAAATTCTAAGCATTATTAAGATCTACATAATTTGTGAAAGTTTCTCAGTTCTAAAAACATTTGAATATACATACAAATCTCATGGTCTTAATATCATCAACAAATCTAACCAAAAAAAAAAAGTTCCAGAGCTAACAAGTACAGTAATCTTATTATCTTTAAAATCAAATTGCTCTCAGGAATTCTTTTTACTAAAGAAAATTTTCACAAATTATATTTAGAACAATATTTTTATCCATATTGCTCCTGGTATAGTCTACATACAGAGAATATTCAATATGTCTTCAAATATTTATTAGTATCAGAAGATATTATCCAACTTATTAACAATATTAATAATATTTTCCATTTCAATAGTGACTACAAGCCAATTTCACATATCTGGCAGTTAGCAGAACTGGCATGTGACATTACTAACAATATTTTTTTCATAACCGACTTCTCTAATTGAGTTGAAGTCTCAACTGAGACCTTAACTCATTTATATAAATCAGTTTAAATATTTCATTGTATCCCAGCAAATACTTCTTTTCTTACTGATATCAAATAGAACAATAATTTTTATAGCAATACTTCAAAACAAGTAATCAAAAACTAAACCAAACTCAAATCTTCCAACAACTTCTTTACTTCAATATCAATTACTATAAATATATCTACTATAGTTGTTGACTTTTATATACAAAACAGATTTAATTTATAAGTGTATTTTCAAATTAATTACAGATTATCTTAATTTTCTTTTATCCAATGCTTAATAGATAATTATAGCTGCTCGAAGCCTCTTGATAAGATATATTGTTTTAAAATTTCTTTTAAATATTAGTTTAGTAGTTATTATAGGCAAGCCAGTATTTAACTTGTTATACTTTTATATATGAAAGATATTGTTTCTTTTACAATATATATCTATCACTATATAAATTAAATAAAGAAATAATATTTATCTATAAAAAAAAAATAGATTTTAAGTTTTATTTTGATATATTATTTATTAATTTTATACAATAGTTTTTAAATAACAAATAAAAAAAATTTTTAAAAGTTTCATAACACATATCTATATTGTATTATAAAAATAAAAAAAAAATAATTATTATTATAAAAAAATTTTTTTATTTATCAATTCCCATATTAACTATTAATAAATTTTTATATTATTATATTTAAATTTATATTTTTAATTATAATTAAAAATTTTTTTTTAAATTTAATATAAAAATATAATATACAAGTTATAAATTAAAAGTATAACTTTTTTAAAAAATATATATTTAAAATTTAATTTAAAAAAATTTTAGTTAATTAAATAGAAATTTATATATTATAAGAATTTTAATAAAAATTTTAATTGTAATTAATTTTCAATGTTTAAAAAATATTTTTATATTGTTAAAATAATAATTGACAAGTCTATTACTATTTTATCATTATCAATTATATAATATTAAATAGAGAGGCCAATACAAATAACAAAAAATTTTAATTTGCCTTATTATAACAAAAGCCTTTAACTTATTACCTATTTCTATAATCAAAAAATTACTTGAAAGAATTAATTGTTCAAGCTTCATTATCAATCTGTTTATCAATCTTTTTAGTAATAGAAAAGCTTTATTAATACTTCTTCTAATATAATCAGTACCTTTTTATAATTAACAATAGCATTGAACAAAATGAAATATTATTTTTCATATTATAGATAATATTTTATAATCTTATAATTACACAACTATTCAAATAACAACCTATTCAAAATTACATTGTCCTTAATACACTAGCCTACATGAATAATCTTGCACTTATTATTGATTCCAAATTAAAAAGGAAAAATCTTTTAGCTATTATCAATTAATTTTTTTAATTAACAATATTACTTGCTATAAAAACAAAATTCAAATCATAAGCAATATCAAAACTAAGCAGAGAATTTTTCAATATTATAAGATTTAGCAGTTATTCAATACAAGTCTTAAAGTCATACCAAAGTATTAAATATTCAGAAATACTTATTTTTTCTAAAAATTTTCTCAAAACTAATAAAAAAGCTTTTAGTCAAACAATAGATACAATTCTTTAAGAATTAAATAAACAAAACTAAAAAGACCAAATATTTTCTTATAATAATCTTTCTTAACAAATCTATATTTAAACATCTATAAGTAAAAATTAATAAACTTATTGAATTAGCATATAGAATAACTTCCAAATGCTCAAATACAATTTTTATTAGCTACAGTAGTCTCAATATTGTATTTCTTGAAAAAAGAGCAAAATTCTTTTTAATAAGTAATCTAATAATCAAACTCTTTATCTTAATTACAAAAAAATATACAATACAGAAGATATAATTAATACAAAGAAAAAAACAATCTAGTCTTGTCTAATATGTAATCCAAAAGTATTTAATTAAGATAACTAGATTCTCTATATAGCCTAAATTGTCAAGAACTTAAAAATATAAATTTGTTTAATCAAATATCTCAATTATCACCCAAATGCAAAAAACTCAATAGGTTTTTTGCTATCTAATCTCTAATCAAATATTATAACTACTGTAATTAATATTGAAAATATCTTTAATATTCAATTTACAAGTTAATTACTAAAATTCAACAATATAGTTAAACTCTTCTAGCTTCAACTAATAACATATACAGAAATCATTCAGTGTGAACCAGAACCTAGCTGATTCAAAAACTTTACTAACTCTAATAATTTATTAGGATTTTATAAACCAATATCCAATTACAAAATATTTTTCTGGTTTATTTACAACTCTAATACTATTGTTAAAATATAAAAAAGATGCTATCATATTCAAGAAAATTTTTATCTCAAAGGAAGATACTTTAATATAAATAATAATAATATTTTTACAAAATATGATAGTTGTCCAGTAGTCAAGTCAGAAGATTACAAAGAGGACCTTACAGAAGCTCTGCTTAACAACAAGTATCCAAGGCACTCAAATATTCTACAAATGACTGGTCAATATGAATTCTATACAGACAGGTCCCTGCTAAACAGAGGAACAAGCAAAGAAGAGACCAAAATGGGTGCTGCATGGATTCAAACCCAAGGACCCCTC